TGAAAATGGTGGACGCCGCCCGAACCAATCTCACCCTCAACCTCGTCACGAGATCACAACCACTCGTGTTTTTGGCCGTGTCTGTGATGACCCTTGGTGAGGACGTGTGCAGGCTGCTGTGAGTCCCTGGGGCCGTTTGCATGAGGCTGCTCGAAAGCGTACGCGGGGAAAGGCACTGGTGGGTTAGTAGAGGCTGTAGCAGGCATCTGGAGGAGGAGAGAAAAGTTTTATTTTCGTGGCGTGCGTCGTGGTGTGGTTGGATTTTGAGGCGGGAGGGGGTAGGGGATTAGAGTAGGATTACAATTTCCACCCAAGGTTGACCTCGTGGGGAGAGTAGGTGTGCTTCGGGTCGATAGGATACGTTGACAATAATTTGTAGAAATTGTTGGCTGCCCAGAAACTCTTCCAGCGATGCTCCCAAAGGTTAACGAGTGAACAGGACAATCAACGACATTCAACGTCGTCCAGCGCCAAAGAGCGAACGAGCACGGACACTGCCACTCACCACCTAAATACCCACACGTCTCCATCGCCACAAAATATTTTTATTATCAGAGTGTTTCAGAATATGAGATCAACCTATCCCCCAATATGGCAACTCTATCGTCTCCGAGCGTGGCGATAGGTCACCCATACGCTTCTCTTCCCGCCCTACGCTATCCCCGTGGAAACCACCTCATTAAGCACTTTTCATGCGTTGCAAAAAGGCATAATATTGCAGAGATCCCGTCTACACGGTGGCATGCCCCCCCAACGCGCGCGGGCGGCCTCTGCCTGACAGCTTCGTCTGTCACACTCTGTATATTCACTCCACGCGAGAACAAGACCGCTGGTGTGAGACGGCGAGCCAGAGATTCGAGCAGTGTCCTTCCCGAATAGGCCATATCTACGAGCGAGGTGTGTTCGACGAACAGTCAGTGGGCCTTTGCTACCCTGCCAACAGACGCCACGAGGCCCCCATGAAACAGCAGAGGTCGCCACAATTCCTGGAGAAAAAAAAGTTAAACTTGAAGGAGTTGTATTACCCACCCGGGATCCCTTTGCGTAGCTTTCGGACGAAGGAAGAAGCGCAACACGGTTCGTCAACATTATTCTTCTTTTCTTGCGGTAACCGAGATGAGTTTGCTAGTGTTATGAACGCGTTCGCTCTTCAGAGATTCGTCTACTTCTCTCAGGAGCTATCCAGATTGCCGGCCGGAGGTAGTCACACCGCGGTCCACCCATTCCATTCATTCCATGGGACGAGAAAGAGGAAATCGACCGGGCGAGGCTGCATTACCAAATCAAATAAAAACCAGGTATGAAAAAGAATGAAGAAGGTAAGGGTCGCATAAGGTTTGAACTAGAACCGTACTGACCCTCGTTATGCATCCAGACACGTCCTGCACACAACATTGCCAAAAACCTGACCGCTAGCATACAACGATCATCTCCTCCGAAGTTGACGGCCTCTTCCAACCCACGGTCTATTGACCGTGGGCGCTTTACGTACGATGTGGCAACATGAGGACAACTGGACGCGTCGCACCTCCAACAAGTCCCTGCAAGCTGTTGAGACGGTCAAGATCGTCCGCTATACTATTAGATGGCGAGATGAGGCTTCGGCAGCTGTTGTGTTTTGCTAACACGCTTCGATGTTGCCCCACAGAAGCGCACGTAGAGGATGACCCTTTGCTGTAGCTGTGTCCTGATACTTGCGGATGAGACGAGGTCAGTGAATAAGAAACGGCAGTACAACAGCTGTGCTATAGCTAGGTTTGCAGGACCAGGGTCACGATGGTGGTCGGCGGTAAGCACAAGTCTGATGGGTGGCGGGTCAAAGTTGGCCGGCATTCACGACTAAAACGGCCTTCAATTCCTGCCACAGAGACATATCCACCATCAACGTCACAGCTTTATTGTTCCTGAAAATGGTGGACGCCGCCCGAACCAATCTCACCCTCAACCTCGTCACGAGATCACAACCACTCGTGTTTTTGGCC